TGAAGTTTTGGCACATGCATATTGTCATTGCACGTCATCATGTTGCAGTAATTGGTATTATATTATGTAGTTCTGTTATCTATTCCGGTTATATTAGTGTAGATTCTARGGATTAGTGATTAGCGATTACCTATTGTACTATTAATTAGGTATTACAATATAGATATTGTGAAATTATACCTTTAGTGATGGGTAACTAAGTGACATATATTGAACCAAACATTTTTAGTGTCGAATGATAGAATTTAAAAAAATATATATATATTTTATATAAAAAAATGGTTTAAATTTAAAGATATTWTTTTTAAATATATAATTAATCAACGTCGTTTATTATTTGTACAAGAGCTATAMATTTTGACGTAATCAATTCATTTTTCAACATTTAAGAGTGATATCAAGTAACTACAACTATAATAGTGAACAAAGAGATGGGATAGCATCCCCCGTATGCTTGCCACGTTGACTACTATGGTCATAGATACAGATCACAGGTAGTCAAGATTGGCGTATAATATCATATTTTAATGTAATGGGTGCTAAGTTTAATATGATAAGACGCCAAAAGTGAACAGAACATCTAATGTGGTTTTTAATGTACTTTAGTAGATATCAGACAATATCAGTATAACTACTTAATTAAAATAATGCATTTCAGTAAGTCTTAATTTTCAAATGAACTCAGCAGTGGATTAACAGGATAATGTAGGTACCTCGTACGTGGATATTAGCAAAGAATACTCGTATATGAAATTTCATATATTTCAGTGGTTGCCGGTTGGCCAAACATATTTTAAAGATTATTCATAAACCAATGTTATATTACATATGAACAACCCCCCCCCCCCGTGATTTTTTTTATATAAATATCTACATGCTTATAAATATAAATGTATTAAATATTAATATATTTTATGCTTAAGACTAACCTACGAGAGTTGGTAACGCTACCGCTGCTGGCCCAGGACCGGAAAATTCGGCTGCTATTGGGCCTCGTCTCTTAGTCGGCGTCCATTGTCTTTGTTGATATCCGCCCATTGTTTAATAAAATGCTTCTATTATGCACGGTACCTTGAAATGAGAAAATTATATTTTATAATAAATGGTCTTTTGTTGTATTATATATTATTAGTTAATTTTTTTCTGAAAGACCATTGTCGTTCTAGATGACTAACTATAGTACTATAAAATAGTAAAAAATAAATATCGAATAGACTATAGGTGTGTATACTCGTATAATATTATGTTAACCGATACGTATTCAGTATTGCAGTTGATTTTGTAATATTTATATTTTAAGCACAATTTATAATAATAATAATAAAATACATATATATTAAATAACATGTCGCAATGGCCAATGTGAGCGTATAGTAATTAAAAATTAATGATTTTGAGAAAATCAAGTTTTCAATATCTCAATCAGCGATAAATGAAAATTGATTGTATAAAAACATTAGAATTTTTAGTATTATATTAGAAAAAAATATGTTAAATTTGTAATTATGTTTTAGTACTATTGAAAATTTTTTCATTAATAGTTAAATTACTTTTATAATCTATTATTATTGTGTTATTAAGAGTTGATAGGTACACGACACACTTGATAAATATATGTCTGCGCATTATAAAAAAAAAAATAGTGTAATAACTCAAAATAATATTACATAAGTAAGCTTTATGGATTGAATTAATACAATTCCTTTGATACCTATTAGTTTATATTATTATACTATTTAAGTAGTTTAAGTTTTACGGTACGATTTTATAGTCTAATTGTATAAAGAACAATATTTTTACCATAAACACATGATGTATCTACAACTCAAAATCGTTTTTGAATTGTTATWCTAATTCACTCACATTAGTACARTAAAATAGCAGGTATAATATTTACATCTTATAAGAACTCAGTTTTAATATTTTACAATCAATATATTGGATAAATCCAGATCACAGTTGCAGACCGAGTACATTAATATATTTGTTATCAAAAATAAATTTGGTGAACATAATTGCATAAATTATCCTCCAATCCAGGTATTGGTCATTTGTATACCTATTACCTTCCATTACTTTATCGGTGTATATACCAGATTATAATATTTTATAAAAGGGTGAGAAAATGGCAACGAACCGCGCATTGCAATTACCCCACGGGTTGGCTATTATTGATGTTTCCGATGACTTTTTCAAGGTTTTTTTCCGGGTCACGGAAAAATGCTACCTATATCATTATGTATACTAGTATATACATAATAGTATGTAAATAATTTATGCATATATTATGTGTGTGGTGTGTCTACGTATATATATATACGTAAGAGAAAACATAAACCCATCGAAAGAATATTTAGAAGTAATATAGTGATGCGTATTATACCTATAAGACTATACGTACGTAAAGATTATTTATTTATTATAATAAGTAATTATCTCTGTATAATATTTGCAGATTAATATAATTAATATTGTATATTATATATATTAAMAGGCAGCAGCTGTTAGAAAAGTCTGCAAGAAAAATATTATTGCGTGACAAGTGCTGACAACTCTACAAATCGATTTTGAATCTATGTGTATGAAAACTAGAACAAAATAAGATAYAGAAATTAATTTAGCTTGTATTGTTTTCCGGTAAATTACGCATGAGCACGGAATGCCGTCAAATTAATAATATAAATAGGTAATATTCGTCCCCATATACTTGTGTCATGTATACACGTTATATACAATGATGTACGTCTATAGTAAATAATGAACTTATACGAATTTAACTAATAATTTAAATAAATATAAGAATACCGCTATGGTAGTAGTATTATAATATATCTGCATGTAGGCCATCATTTTAGATTGTTATACAAAGTATAAAGTACATACACAAACCAGYTACCAAWGACAAGAAAATATGTATATGAATCAGATCCCGTSGCCTTTTTAATGATTTTTTTTTTTGGAATTGTGTTTTTTRGAATACTCTTGCTCTGAGTAGTCAGGGTTATTTTAAACGAGTGTTTTAGTTTTATATTTAGATATAACTTGTGGAGAGCTTTATTCACACTCTATTGTAGTCATTAATCTTCATAATGACATGATATTAAATATGCAACAGAACCATATGACAACATATTTTGTAAAAATCTGAAACACATAACAATGAACAAATATATAGTTTTTGCATAATACGATTGCTAGGAAATGTTTCAACACCCAAACACCCCACTCCTCCGGCAATGWCATAGGTGGTGAAGACWATCAGACTATATCTAGATTATAAATTATAGCAGTGATTTTATCATAATGTATAATATACATATAATAAAACATCATATATTTGTTATAAGACCTCTATGTTATATTTATGTTTGTTCCTGCAGTACGATAATTATAAATGATGGCTTATCCATTCTACAATTTTTATGGTTTTGCTTTTGCATTGCTCTTGTTCATATTCAGACAACATTGAAATTATTTCATTATAATACATATTTCATAAAATAGGAACATTATACATTCGGCTTAAAAATTCGGGAATATATAAATAATAAATTTGATAAAGTAGATACTTACAACTTTACTATACTCTAAACTTCTAAAGTCACATGATTACAGTAAAACGCGATAGTTACAATCGTGACTACAACTATAATTCCTGCTATAAGATAGTTTAAACTTAATATAAAGCCAGTCGACAGTCACTGCGAGGAATATATAATGGTTGCTGTCACAATGTTATATATACTGATCATATAAGTGAATTAAACTATTTAAATATTTAAATGTATAGTTATAATAGGTAGATTTACCTATATAACTATATCTGTATGTTATATATGAGTGTTTCTGTAGGAGGGTATTGGCTTTTGAAATTGCAAGAAATCTGGGAGGAGTGCTCGAATCTGCTAAAATTATTTTTCGTTCACTGGTGATTTATGAACCTCTTTTTAAGTCAATTATAAAAATAGGTACTTTAAAACTTTTATTTTTTGTACATTTATAGTTTATGTTGTTTTTCTCCTCCGAAAATAAAAAAAAGTTTTGAATATGAAACTGACAATAACGCGCCCATATCGTCCTAATAGCTCAAAATTATTTGTGTAATTAATGATTATATATCACAGTTATAATAACCTGTATAAATATTTTAAATTAATATACATTATACCTATATTATATAGGTAACTAACTATAATAGTTATCTACAATGTTTATATATAAATATAATATGTAATATTCTTCTCTCATATTAAATCTTTATTTTTCGGTCGCATGTTTTTATAATGATTTTTCTTAAATCGTTATAATGTCAGACAGGGGTATTTGACCTAATTTTCTCAAACGACCTTTGCCTTCATTGCGCGACCAAAAAAAAAAATAAAAAAAAATAAAAATAGTCGAACTTTGGCCTTTTAACAAGCAGCTTTTTTCAGAGTATACGAATCAGGTATATGAGTATATATATACTTTATTATCGCACGCTTTTACCTATGTGTACAACGTTAAGGTCCGTACCATCCGGCTAAATATCATTGATAGAAGTCACGCGATTCGCATTCAAAGACTATGGTTTCGTTCATACTAAATACTGGTATCGTTACAGTATGCGTTTTTTTTTGCGCTAAACAAGTGCGTATATATCATAATAATATACAATTTGCAGAGCAGGACGTGGGAATACGTATGCGACAAAATGCGTTYGTCTAAACGGCGTACTAATATWTGTTCTATTTATTATTTTTGTAAATATATCGTAATAAAATTATGTATCGTTTCGAATCTTCAGCTATACACAYCTACGCATTGAAATTAGGTATTTGAAAACGCCAAACTAACTATTACGTTTAAATTTAACCAGGACCGTAGCAAGAACCTGTAGCATCCCTGACAGGAAACCAAATTTGCGCCTCCTCCCCCAATTTATTTTTTTGTAAATTAAGATACTTGAATTGAGACYGCCATCACTCGATGACATTGTGATTTTCGTATAATAATTGTACCCCTATACAGGATAATGCCATCTTGCCAGTGCCTAGCTACGGCCCTGAATTTAACCAATGCATCAACCATACGTTGAAACTTTAAAAGGAGATTATCGTATTCAATTTCTGCAAAGCCTAAATTTTTTATTTTTTCTCACTCTACCCGCGAGTTTAAAATACGCATTTATTTTATTTTTAAACCTACGCGTTTCATATCGACTTTTACGTAATATATATGTAGGTAAATGTCAAGTAGGTATAAGTATAAGTTTTGTGTTTATGTATAAATTGTTAACATCAAAATGACTCAATACAGTGCTGCAAAGTGTAGATTATTGACCAGCGATTTTCGTTTATTATCCACTGCGATAGATGTATGTGTCTTTGTATTATAGTATTATATAATATCTACTTAAGGATATACATATAAACACTAAGTAAGTATTGACTATTGGTGCTACTTCACTATTTGACTATCTACCAATATATCATAATTCATAAGGTTTTAAGAATTAAGTAGGTATGTGTATACACGCGCACGTCACTATTCGTATTACTTTAGACTATAGACTAAAAAGTCATCGTTCTGCTTACGCGCACGTTCTAAGCAAGTCCAGATTATTATTATTCCACCAGTCATCATATATATTGTTGTATTTGAATGACATTTTTCGAAACTCTAGGTTACCTAAACAATTTATGATATGTATATATATATATATATATTAGTATACAATTTTATAGCTCAGTAAGTTCCTATGTCCTATATGTAACAACATAACTATATTGTATACTGTTATAATATATAGATATTAATATATTATATATTATTTCTATTTTCATAATGTCTCCAACAGTATACGATAATATTATAAGATGTCAAGTATTAACTATAAAGTTTGCATAAACCATTAACCTAACCTACACATGGCACGACACACGAGTGAAACGAAATCCGATCGAATTAATTGTATTATATAGGTCACATATGGATTATAAAAGGTAACTAACTTACCAAACCTAAACAGAACTTTATAGCTACCTATATTTTATGTAAACCTGTCTTGAACTTTCTTATTTCTCAATATT